AAGCAAGAAGACGAAGCTACAAGATCCTAAGGAGAGATGGAAACAGAAGACAGAGAAGCAAGACTCGCGGACACATCTACACACACATACATACACACAAAATACAAACATACACGCAAACATAAACATACACATACACACACACATACAAGATACAAGTAAATGCAACTACACAAGCGAGAGGAAGCAGGTATTGGAGGATGGAGCAAAATGGAAAAGAAGAAGAATCGAAGAAGAGCAAGAAAAAGGTAAACTAGAAGGCAAATTATAAGATATTAAGGAAAAATAAGTGAGGTTGAGGAAAGGAAAGGCAGAGGGAGCAATAGGAAACAAGAAAAAGGTGTCAAAGCCTTAACAAGAAGAAAGATAGATGAAATGATTAGCAAGAAGGAGAGCAAAAGCAACGGAAAGGCAAAGGTGAAAAGGCAAAAGAAAGTAATAAAGGAAAAGCTGAAATGAAAACAGAAGAGCGGAAAAGGCAGATCTTGGAGAGAGAAAGAGGAAGAGAAGATTAATCAGAAGAAAAATGAGAAGTAAAGAGGAACAGGCAGGAGCAGAAGACAGAGACACAAGAGATGCAGACACACCTACAAAGGCACATATTTACACAACACATACACACACACACGCACGCGCGCACTCACACACACACATACACACAAAACACATACATAATCAACTACACAAATTGGATACGAGACACAAATAGAAATTTAAGAAATGTAAACCAAATGTAACATATAAGTTGTAAATAAATAAACTGTATCGTCAAGGAATCGTCTTGTGGTTGAACAGTGAAACAGTGAAAATGGGGCGACCATCCAGAGCAGGTTACCCTACGAATCAAGCATAAGTCTTAGGCCAGATTTATTATGAGAGTTGCGAGGACTACCGAAAGGGATCGAAGGATTGCACTCGTATGATGGGATACGACCAGTGATGAGAATCCGATGAGGCTACAAAAAATTTCATTTTCATGAAGTTGTATCTCATCTACTATATATCGTCTATACAACTATGCCCAAGATTCTCAGTCGGCAGTAGCCATTGTATTTCTCGTTCCGGTTCCAATGTTTGTTTATATTTTCAAAATTCGTTCGGCTTTCTGAGTCACATTTGGCATTTCAAATAGTAACAGGTACAAATTTTTATAGTGCGACTGAAAAATCGTTATTAGAGGAACTAGCAAGTTTGAAGAAAAAATGTAAGGCAAAAAAATTAAAAAATAAATCAGTGCTTATTGTAGGTGCTGGAGGTTCGGGCTGTCCATCGTTTTTATATTTAGCTGGTGTAAGTATTGCTCACATAAGTATTTTTAATTACGATGACATAAAACTCAAAATATTTATCAAAAATTGTGAAAATTAAGCATTTAGAATTTTGCTATTGTATAGGCAATATGATTCTTGAACCAGATTGGATGCATATTTAGAGGTGGACTTAAATTGATTATGTGTGGATTTTTACTTATCAACAGATGAGGTAGACAAAGCTTTGACCTATAAAATTACATTTTTTATAAAAGATATAAGAAACAAGACTCTTCAACCTACACTAGAAAAGTTCCTCTTGCATTGGTTTGATTCATGAGGTCATATCTCTTCATTTCAGTATTCAAAGTATCAGTCAGAGAAATTGCACTGGCATTATTGACTAGAATATCAATTCCTCTACATTTATCCACTGAATTTTTAACAGCATTGGCAACTTGAGTTTCATTTCTTACATCAACTATACATGGTAGAGCTTTTCCACCAACCTTTTCAACTACAAAGCATTCGCATAATGAGCGTGAAATAAGATATTCACTAACAATATGTTTGAAATTTTTAAGTTCGCTTACTTTCATGAGCAGGTGATACTTCTCCTTTAATAGCACTTATTAATTTTGCTGATATAAACATCAAAGGGACAGACAGGATAGTACACACAACCATAGGCGAAACAATCAGATCAATATCATTATTATAATGCAGTGTGAAAATAAATAAAGCTGGAGCAGTAGGAATGGTTCCATAGAAAAAACCAAAAGTGCTCAAATCAGATGTGTCGGTGGAATTTTCTCCAGCATTCAGTAGTATCACAGATTCTCTAATAACTAATGGAAGGACTAGAAGTTTAACAGAAATGAGAATTCCTGGTATTACTAATGCTATACCCTTGAGCTTGTGAATTTTGCCAACCATCATGAGTTCAAGCTAAAAGAGAGCACTTGCTGAGAATGCATTTCCAAGGACTTCTAGAACTACTTCGAGCAAAGTTGGCAATTTATGACTGAATATGAGGTTTCTAATGATTTCGATAACAGTCATAACTAGTGTAGGATTTAAAGCAATCCCTTTGGCAATTGCTTTAAGCATGTCCCAATTACTTCTTTCAGTACGATTGTCTACTCCTTCACTGTGCTTAGACACTTCCAGAAAAACAAAAAAAACGAAAGGTTCAAGGCAACTAGTGATATTGGTGTTACTAAATATAAATATGCTGAATACTCAGGATGTGCTGAGGCATAAAGAGTATTTACTGAAAATAACAACACAATTTATTAATTCTAAATAATTAATTTTCACAATTTTTGATAAATATTTTGAGTTTTATGTCATCGTAATTAAAAAGACTTGTGAGCAATACTTACACCAGCTAAATATAAAAACGATGGACAGCCCGAACCTCCAGCACCTACAATAAGCACTGATTTATTTTTTAATTTTTTTGCCTTACATTTTTTCTTCAAACTTGCTAGTTCCTCTAATAACGATTTTTCAGTCGCACTATAAAATTTTGTACCTATTACTATTTGATATGCCAAATGTGACTCAGAAAGCCGAACGAATTTTGAAAATATAAACAAACATTGGAACCGGAACGAGAAATACAATAGCTGACTGCCGACTAAGAATCTTAGGCATAGTTGTATAGACGATATAGATGAGATACAACTTCATGAAAATGAAATTTTTTGTAGCCTCATCGGATTTTCATCACTGGATACGACCTAATCTTACCGATAGCACCTGGACCAGATGTAACAAACGAGCAGCTTTAAATCATTATGAAATGGTGTCAGTTAAGGTATGAGAATAATCAATTACAGTATGTAGAGTATGTTCCTCTATCACCTGATCAATGTACCAGAGAAGAAATGCAAGTCTGGATAGATATTATCTAGTTGCATATTTTCATGAAGAAACGATCGAACACGGAAGAACGTACGTAGTATTTCTGCCTTATGGAGGTAGAGGTTTTGCGGATTTGTTAACTTTCGATAACTGTGTGCAATGCTCTCGACCTCTACTTGTGTGGCGTTTTTGTAAGTTATGTATTTTAAAATACTTAAGCCACGGACCGAAAAATATTTTCTTCATCTGTTGGGAGTGCTGGTCAAGTGCTCATCAGAATGCCCTTCAACCTAGAGAAAAGTGCTGTATATGTAAACCTGGCACCATAGGAGAAGAAATATTTTTAAGAAGATTAAATGTAGTGTGGAGTGGTGGTTTATTGACTTTTGAAAATTAGAGACTTTATGTTAAGTAGTGCTTCGAAGTGTTTCTCTTTTAAACATATATATGTGTAAAATTACTTTGTGTTTAGTACGTAGTGTTTATTGTAACTTCGTTATGTGCAAGGTATAAGTGTAAGTATAATATTTTGATGTACGAAATTTCAAATAGGCAGGTGCAACTTGCGAGCGCTCTGCGTCGCTAGTCTACGGGGGTGGGCGTGTTACGTTGAGGACGAGTCAGACTATTTTATAGCGGTAAAATTTGAATTTTTTTTTATGAAAGGGGAGTTCCCGTAATGAAAAGTAATAGTCATTTAATAGCTGATTTTATTCTCAGTGACGCACTTACCACTTCTGGGTTTAACCCTTTATTGATTAGTTTTTATGTATTTTGTACTATAAAAGAGGACGCAAAACAATTGTAAGTGAGACGCTGTATTCGACTTTGTAACACTACGCACCTTCTGTAATTTAATCAATAAATATTTTAAATCTATTTCTATAATAACTTATTTGAGAGTTATACCTAATTCTTATCTATGTTACATCTCTTGCTTCTGAGGTACGAGATTCTTGACCAGTTAAACTACAGGTAAAATTATTACTTTTTCACTCGGTATTTTAGATACGTTGTCGGCCTGCTTTCGTGTTAGTCTCGCACCCATGGTAAAGCGCTTACGCGTTGACCGAAAAGAGACAGTCGCGTTTGAGTAACTCTTCTCAATTCGTGGCCGTTACGTGAGACGTAACATAAATATTAATAATTTTGAAAAAGTAAGAGGGGTGCAATTAAAACGAGCAAGGATTCAATTTTTTTGCACTCTTTCTTTGCAAAAATATTAAGTATTACTAAAGATATCGCAGTCACTAAAAACGAAAAGATTATTATAATTTTTAATTTTTTTTTGGGATTATTGAAGGGGTTCAATTAAAATAATGAGCATTTTTGGAGGTTGGTTTCAATTAGAGATATTTCGAATGGTATTTTTTTTTCACTGTCCATTTATAAGACTTTGCTGGCTGTGTAAGGGGTTGAAGCTTTTTACGGATCTCTTCCAGAATTGCCCAACCCTGTTAAACGCCACAATTTAAAAAATAGCTGATTGATAACCACTGGTACTTGATTTTTTATTGTTATGTAAGAAGCCATTGATATTTACATAGATTTTGCAAGGGTTTTAATTCCACGTATAACGTGGAATCTATTGAACTGATTAATTTTATTCAAAAGCGTATTATTATTGAATATTGATCCAATCTACATATTCAGGCTGAGCTTCAACTCCTAAATTGAAAATTGTAATTTAATTATTAAACTCCGTGACGAACAAAGAAATACCTATGAAAATTTCTCTTAACTAATTAACGCGGAAACGATTGCATTAATTACTTTTATGAACAGTCAAAAAAAATTACTTTTTAAAGGTTAACTTCCACGAGTTGTTTCGGTCTAGCTGAAATTGTATTGTTTACATAATCTCGATTATGATAAAATGCCGGAAATATAATTTTTAATTGTTCTAACTAAACTAACTAAGTATTGAGAGTGCTGATTTGGTGGTTTTGTCTTTGAATAAACCGTTATAGCTATGTGTAAAAAATATGTTGAAGTTATGTTTGTGAATTGATAAATCTAATAGTGTCAGATTTTTTATCAACATTTTGATTTAAAGTTATGAAAAAAAAGTAATATAACAAAATTGTAACTATATTTATTTTATAATTACTTGAATTGTACTTCAAGCTACACATATACAGAATTCATATTTATAATTACAAAATATGTTATTTCTGCTCTCTTTCTCTGCATGAGTGTGTATGTTTGCGCGTGCCCGCGTGTGTATGCGCGTGTGTGTTGTTTTCTCTCTGAAATCTCAACATATAAAGGTAAAAACGTCTCCTTAATTAAATCAATGATTATTTACACATACTCTGTAGATAATTCTTATTTCAGATTTTTTATATATTATTATTCTCATTATTTACAGAAATATATTTGTTCAGTTTCCTGAGATTAATTGAAGATTTTTGAATTTTTATTGGATGACACTGTTATACAAAAATTTGAATGCTCAAGTATTGTGATGAATCATATAAACAATTTAAATCACGTTCAGCAGTTACACCTGGATTCAATTCAGGCTGATGGTGTAGAAGAAATGGATACTCAAGAAGGTACTATCATACTTTGCAAATGTCTAGTTGCATTTTAAATCATATCTTATGTATCAAGGAAATCATCATTATCATATAATTTAGATAACTATATTTTAGATTAATTTTTATATGTTATTGAGTTATGGATTTTCTATATATTTCATTGATCACTATTCCCTGACAGTTTTATCTTAGTTGATAATGTTCTTAATCATAGTAAGCAAATAAAACCTTGTTGATGTTAGCAATTTTCGTTAATTTTTTTATAAGAAATAAAAGTCTAAATTGCTGTTGTCAATTCATTTGTCCTGATGACACCACATTTAGGCTATTATTTTCTGGAAGAGGTTAACAAATCTATTAACAAAATATCAAAAAGTATTTTCTTTCCTTATTTGTTTACATCAGTCAAGTACAGCATTAACTAAGATGTTCTGCTTAAGAATTTTGTAAAGTAACAAATTTTGTTATATATTGTGTATATATAAAATTATCATTTGATTTGAGTTAAAACCAGTTGATTATATGAATTACTTTTTATTATTGATCTTGAAAAGTTTAATTAACATATTTTAGTTTGTTCATATTTTAAATATTAAGTAAACTGTTCAACTTTTTTAAATATATTGGCTATGAAAATATATTTTAACCTTACAAACTAGAAAAAAAATCTTTCCATCTTTGATAATTAACAATAAGGTTTGAAATTTAATTATTTTCTAATAATTAAATTTGTCTTTCACATATAAAGTATGTCATATGTATATAATGAAAATATGATTTAATGCAGACTTGTTATGTTTTATGTGAAAGGATTCAAGATAGTGGCTTATATTTTGTTTGCAGTAGATTTTAAAAGTCATGCTCTAATTTTGCAACTTAAATCATAGTTGAACAGACAATGTAAATCAAATATGTTTGATATGAAAAATTAACTAACCAATAGTGTAATTGGCATTTGGTTAAATAGAGTAGAAAAAAGTTATTTAGTATTAAAAGTTGAAACTAAATTATCTTAAAGCTTATATGTAGACAAGGCCTTATCTCTACGTTTTGTCAAAAGAAATTTTATTATTTACATATATAATTGATAAGAACCTAATATAAAGAAGAGAAAGAATCAAATTAGAATTGGAATAATCTTTTAGAATCTTTAATGAAATTAGTGAATATTATGCAATAAAAAATAAAAATTTGTTGTTGGTATTTCTGAGTATTTCTTATAAAAATATCGTTAAAATCTCAAGTTTTTACTTTACAAAAATATAGAGACAGTGAGGGATTCTATGAGAAAATTCCTTAATTAGGAAAAGTTATTTAAAATATTCAAGTTGTGAGTTTACTCTGAATTTCACGATTTCTACATTGTACAATGTATCAGAAGTTTAAAAATACTTGAGTTCATAACCAATTAACTTTTCATACCTTTTTTGCAAAAGAAGTTGTAACAATTATGTGAAAACACTTGAAATATTTTTTGATCCGAATATTGATTCTTGTATAGCTTTAAAAACTTACATGTCAGCTTTACAATTTCATTAGTTATTAGATTACATTACCATTGTTTATAGAATTTAGAGTTGAACTTTGCTTTGTATTTCACATTACTTTTTAAACTTTTTACATGTCAAATTTGAGGTTCTATATGACTTATAGAAAAATGTTATTTTACTTTATATAGTATATTAATGTTACTTTTTCACTCTCGATATTTTAAAAATTAATGCAGTTATCACAATGTTTTAGGATCTAGTCCTCAAATGTGGCTGGATAAGTAGGGATTGAATCACAAAATATTGATTAATTATGAAACAAAATTATACATATATAATATACAAATTCTTATTGGTAAATGTACATGATTATCTGTAAAAAAGTGTAGTGGATAGACCCGGATGATGTATAATCATATTATTTTTATTCAGATTTATTGGATTCAAATTTCAGGAATTGATAGGAAGAATGGATATCCATGCATTGATTCAAATCAAATACATAATGCAGATGTGGCAATTTTTATTTATTAAAATAAATAATTGAAAGAAAACAAGAGAAAGAAAGAAAGAAAGTAGAAAACCCCGGTCTCAAGCGGGGAAAATTCTTGAATAATAAAAAAATTTTCTGTGCATGAAACTAGACCTAACTTTTTCTTGGATTGTTTTTATCAGTCTGAAACAAATAAATAACAAGAGATTTTTATTACAATATTTGAATATTTTTCACGTATTCGCTTATTATTATTAATTATAACTCACTTCATTTAAAAATATTTCATTTGCATGGATAAGGTCTTGTATAGCCATTATTTATTCATCATTAATAATATTAATATTATCTAAAGTTTCAACTCACAAAATAAAAGTTTTCTATCTAATAAAAAGTTTTATGTTGTTTTAATAAAAGGAAATTTGCTTATATAATTAGAATTTAACTTACTGTAAAGCAATGTCAGATTTGAATTGTTGGCTGTAGAGATGAATCTACAATGCTGTTTTCCCATAGTTAGGAAAAAATACATGTTGCAACCATGTTTGAAGTAATTCACTCGACAGCTTTCCTGATGCACTTGCTCGCAAAAATATATTAGGTGCATTGAATAGTTTTTTTGAAACAATGGGTCCAAACTTCCGTTTATTTCTTTTAATACCATAAAAAGGAGTGATAGCAATGTCCCTTCTAGAGATATTGTCGGTTAAATCGTATAACTATACATAGTCGATGATCCTGATTGTACTACTGATTCGACTGTTTTCTTACCTTTTTCGCTCAATGTTCTGCCAGTATGCATTTCTAAATTGAATCCACTTTGATTGGAATTATATATGTTACTTGCACTTTTGGTTGATAATTCTGTTTTTATCAGGATGATAAAATTTTGACAATATAACTTTAAACTAGCCTCATTTTCAACATGTACTTTAGTCACATATTTAATTATTTTACGCGATACAATTTTATGCTTTTTTTTGAATAGTAATATCCAATTGGGTGAAGGTTTAAACCAAGGCATATCTAACTCATACTTTTTTTGTAAAGCCCATCTTTTAAGATCTAAATATGCACTGTTAACTTCCGATCTAAAGCATTTTCAAGTTGTTGTAAAGTATATTCTGAAACTTTAAACAGAATCTCTCTTTTGGTCGCTCCTGTTAAAATTTGCTGTTTCTATGTTCTCAACTAACGTTCTGACGAAACTTGTTTATCTTTACTCTGGACAGAACTTAAAGACAGTTTCTTTTTCTTACCACTTTCCCAGTATTCAACAGCTTTTTATTTATATCCATCGTCGAGTACTGTATTTGTTACCGTACAAGTAGGTACTTCGGCATAGTCTACACCATGTATTTCTTCAAATTGATCGTCAATTACTTCTGGATTAATGTCAAAATCATCATCCAGGAAACATAAGTTCTCACTTGTCTCACATTCAATACCTGAATTCGTTTCAATGCTTTTTCTCAATATATCTTCATCATAATCGTGTAGCTGCTTCTCTGCATTGTTTAATATAGGTATGCTTTCTACAACCGCACTTATGTGGAATGTTTTCAGTAATTTTTGAATGATGTTGTGATTTTCAATTGCCATTCTAACACAATTTTGATATTCAATAACGTAGATGTAAAGCAAGGTTCTATTACTAATTTACTAAAGTATGCTGATCGAATATGCTTATATATACTGTAAGTGAACGAAACATGTTTCGAAGTTCGCACTACACAAACCGATATCAAATCAAGGTGCCCGAGGTTCCTCCACTGTTAGATCTTGGCTTATCACATACGTCAACGATTGCGATTTCTATCAAGGAAAAAAACAGTTGCAGTTCCAATCTTACTATTTGAACCACATGAACCGCATTCGTTGATTGTGGTTTCTATCAAGGAAAAAAACAGTTGTAGTTCCAATCTTGCTATTTGAACCACATGAACCGCATTCGTTGATTCTTGTTTCTATCAAGAAATAAAAACAGTTGCAGTTCCAATCTTGCTATATGAACCACATGAACCGTATTTGTTGATTGTGGTTTCCACGTCATGCCACAGTTTGATTTTGTTTTGCCACACACATACTCGAGTGTGTTTAAGGCGGAAAATAAGAGTAACATTATCTCATGTTAGTATTTTTGTATTTTCTAAAACCGCCTCGCGAAATACGTACATATACCTATTAGTATAATAAAATCAGTTTGTCTAATGAATTTTTTCGTAATAACATAATCGAATTTCGTCAGGGATGGTAGTAATATTTGTTGAACATAATGATTTAAAAATGAAAAGTTCGTGCAAAAATAAAAACTGCTTGAATTTTTTTAATAAATCTTTTCTATTTTTCAACATAGTCTCCTTTTAGGCTTATACGCTTCATCCAACGCTGCTCTAGTTTGTTAATCCCTTCTAAATAATAGGATTTGTCCAAGTCTGTAAAATAGGCATTCGTTTCTGCAATCACCTCCTCAGGTAGGGTGACATTTCATCTAATGTTATCATACGCGGTGGATGAGTATATTTATTATAAGTAAAGCTTTCCGAGTTTTCAGTAGAATTTTTTACCTAATCTAATCAGTTTGGTTTTTCGTAACATGCATTTAAAAGCTTATAACTTTCACTTTTATTAAAAATTTGAAATATAGTATCGTCTAAATACACTCCCGGTCAAAATTTTTTGTCCATTCTGAAGTACTTGCCGTTTTAAGAAAATAAATCGTAGAAAAATTTTTAAAAAAGCATTTTGTAGCTTTTTTCAAGTACTTCCGAAATTGCTCCTGCAACATTTTTTTGTTCGAATTCAGCGATTTTATAAGCTTTTTTCAAAGCAACGTTAAAATTTTACTCTCCGTATCTTTAAATATTCGAATGATACAAAAAGAATGTTTATTTGAAAGAAAACACTTTATTTTGGACAGAAAATACACAGAAATTTTTTAAGAATTAAAAAAAAGATTTAAGCCATTTTCTTTTTTTGTAAGTTTATTAAATTAATAGAAGAATATTTGATTGTATATAAAATTTTCTGAAAAAATGTTTACGTATTCTCTATATAAAATAATCATTTTTTCTAGATAAACTTTGCTCTATAATTCGAATTTTCAATGTTTACAGATGTCCATTCCTTAAGATTGTTATTAAACTAAATATGTAAAAAAAAGTACATTCATAAAGTTACGTAAAATTTTTCAAAATGATCTACTGTCTAATTGCGACTCGTTACCGGCGAAGTAATTGAGTCCAGTTCTTGATGATTTTTTTAATTTTTATTGTGTTGAATTTAATGTTACTCGAAATTTTATTGAAGCTGCAAAAATATATTGAATTGCGATAATATTTCGCGTGCGCGCACCTTAAATTGTGTTATTCTAATTATTATAAGAGGAAAGGATAAATAAATTAATCTAAATTAGAGAAAAAAGCCTCGAAAGGCATAAAAACCCTTTATTGAACACACACTAGAGAAATAAAAGGTTGCGAATGACGTCACGACGAGATACAATGGTGGCACTCATACACACACGTGTTTTCGTTTTATAGGTTTCACGAAGTAATTTTGTATGATTTGTCACACACCCACACGATAGATAATAACCACGTTCGGTGGTAGTAATCGAATTAACGATCAGATACGATAGATATTGTGCAGAATATACACGCCGTACGTTGGGTACGGAAGGTCGCGAGGGAGCTCCGCATGCTACGAAAAGTAGTCGACTACTACCGGCTCTGCCGGAAGAAGCAAAAAACCAGGCGGGTGGGAGCACATACATACAGAAATGAGTTGCGCGCGCAGGTGCTAGTTAAATCTAGTTTAATAACTAAATTTTGGAACGCTACATACTGCCGGCCACGGCTGCGAAATTGTTTATATCATAACAATAGAACAGGTTAGACTGAACTTAATAATAAATAAGTGGTTAGTAATTCGGTTGATTTGAACCGATGAATCTAGATTGAATCTTGGGTTAGTATGATTCACGATTGGAGTTGGTTTCCTTTGGATGGACCACTCTCTTGATTAGCATCGTTATCACAGTTGATCGATTAAGAGGAAACAAGAAATTACTCTACCTTGATATATTAATCTATGATGCATAACGAAATGAACATTGCTAAATAAACTCTTATTCTAGGAACAAATGAACGAATGAACAACTTATTCTAAGAAATAACAAAGTAAACGGTTAATCCGTGACAACATCACTGGAAAGCGATCGATACAGATCCGAGATTCTGAGCCCCGCATCGGACAGGAACCCGATCTCGGTCAGGTATCGCGTTCGGCTTTGCCGACTACTGGCTGTGAAATCTCTGATTTCACCGTTCACACGGGCCAGGCCATGATTCGCACTAGCAGAATACGACGTGGTTCAACTCTTGTATGGCGAGCCACATCGCGCACATCTGAGGCGTTTAGCTCGTTTGGGGGGATTGTTCTCCCGAGGATTCCAACGGAGACTCATCCTCCCGGAGCACAGGCAGAACGCAGAGCCGAGTGATGTTGCGTTTGTAGATGCCCGATGCCATCTTCACAGATGCTACCCTAGCAATGCCATCACTCCCAGGGTGAACCTCCACGATAACACCCAGCGGCCATCTTGCGCAGTTAGAATTATCTTCCATGGACACGACCACGGAGCCAGGAGTTAGAATAGCGCTTGAATTCAGCCATTTTTGACGGGTTTGTAACTCGTGCAAATACTCCTTGTGCCACTTCTTCCAGAAGTTTTGTCTGGCCTTGGAGATAATTTGATGGATGGTCAACCGGTTGTCCGGCACTGAAACAAAATTAGGTTCAGGTAGAAAATTGTATGGGCGACTTATTAAAAGGTGAGCGAGCGTTATAGCCAACGGGTCGTTCGGATCCGCGGAAATTGTGTACAACGGCCGTGAATTGAGGATCGCTGCGATTTCTTTTAAGAGGGTCTCGAGTTACTCATAAGTGAGCTTCCTATCCTTCATAATGCGATTTAAGTGGTGTTTGAAGCTTTTGACCGCGGCTTCCCACAATCCACCGAAATGCGGAGAGAGGGGCGGATTAAACTGCCGCTCAATGCGATGGGTCACGGCGAAGTTACTCGTCGCGTCTCGAAATTCCGGTGTTTCATGTAGCTCATAGATTTTTTTGAGCTCATTACTCGCACCGATGAAATTTGTCCCATTGTCGGAATTGATAACTCTTGGGGTACCTTGCGTACTGATGAACCGATAAAGACAAAGGAGAAAACCTTCGGTAGAGAGATCAGATGCCAGTTCAATGTGTACAGCCTTGGAAGCCATGCAAACAAAGACGCAACCGTAAGCCTTGATGAAACTTCGATTACGATCTTTTTTCTCTTTAATCAGAATGGGACCGAAGAAATCTATTCCCGTTTTTTCGAGCGCAAAATCAGAATCAGAAGCTACTCTAGATCCTGGTAAGTCGGCCATTTTAGCATGAGGGAACTTTGGTTTTTGTCGAATGCATGGGACACACCGATGAAGAACGTGTCTAATTTGATTTTTCCCGTTTAAGATCCAGAATCTCTGACGCACAGCATAGAGGGTGGATTGAATACCACAATGAAGACCTCTACGATGAGCGTCGCGAATTATTAGATCTGAAACGTGATGGTTTGATGGAAGCAAAATTGGGTGTCTCTGATTAAAAAGTAAATCAGAGTGTTTGAGACGACCACCGACTCTAATTAAGCCGTCATCGTCAAGGAAGGGGTTCAACTCGTTGAACTTAGTTCGAGCTCTGGAGTGGACCCCAGAATTCGATTGTTTCGCGGATCTCAGAAGGGTGATCTCGCGACTGAAATGTTCACGTTGGATTAAAAGCAGAATAGTTCGCTCAGCGTGAGCAATTTCGATAGGCGAAAGCTGACGGACGCCTTTCAATGACCTGCCCCGTTTTGGTGTGTCGTTTGCAAGTGGACTCTTTTTGGGTCAACGCAAAAGATACCTGATCGACCTAACCAGGCAACCATAATCGGAGAAACGAGAATAAATAGTACTGCCGGACAACGCGGTGCACAAAACTAGTCCTTCCTTGACACCTGGTAGATTAGTTGACGAGGAAATAGGTGACTGAGGCCAATTCTCTTCTGAGAGAGCTAGCCACGGAGGGCCGGAAGTCCAAAGTGAGTTGACTAGAAG